AAACATTACGAAAACCGTTCGTACTATCAGTAACACAGAAAAAAATAAATAAGGATGCCATATTTGCCTTTCCAGTTAGCGAATATTTTAAAACATATTAATAAACATGATGCCCGAGGCCGGCGAGGGTGGTGCTCTCGTATGCTGCTGGTTGGAATGGGAACGGGCCCCGCCGTTTCTGGAGAGCAAATTTGGCAACCTGGCCAAAGAGCCTTAAAAATGTTCGCACTCTTTAATCTAGTTATCCTCTTCTGAAACCTAGAGAAAAATCCCACATACAAGGAAAAAATTATTTTTATATAAAAAGTCAACCAGAAAAATTTCATAAATTTTTGCAAAGGTCTAATGAGGAGGAGAATGCTAGGCGAACTGGGTGGCAAACCGGCGGCGGTGGGAGTCCAGAGTGCAACTGAAGCCTCCGTCAGTCGCGCCCCCTGCCGTTGGTCATCTGCGAGGCACGGTCTCACGGCCACCGCACGGGCTAGGGCCCAAATTCCCATTTTACAACTTGCTAACTGTGGGACCTTGCGCAGGGCACACTCTGAGCCACGGTTTTCTGCATCCATAAAATGAGGAGAACAGCGGTGCCTACCACATGGGGTTGATGCAAGGAGAACGTCACACACATAAACTGCCCGGCACGGGGACAGCACACGCTAAGTGCTCACCAAGTGCAGCTACTACTCAATTTATCTGATGGAGAACACGCTTCCCACACCCATATGCCCACCAACCACCCATCCAACCGCGACGTGCAGCAAGGCTACGGAAAAGGAAGGTGCATTTCGGGTTGACACAAAACTCCTCTGCTGGCCAGTTTTGGCCAGTTTTGGCTGGAGGACTCCCTGACACCCTGCGTGGCAGGCAGGGGCGCTTCCCCGGGCCTCCCTCCACTCTCCTTCCCGCAGGCTCGGACTCAGATCCTGGTCTGATCCATGTGTGCGCACACACACACACACACACACACACACACACACATAATTGTTATGTATTTCTGGTGGGTTGACTCTTACATAATTATAAAATGTCCCTCTTTATCTCTAGTAACTTTTTTTGTTTTGTTTTAAAGTCTTTTTTTTCTGACGTCAGTATAGCCACTCTAGCTTTCTGGTAGTTGCTGTTTACATTATATATCTTTTCCCATTCTTCTAGTTTCAATCTATTTGTATGTTTGAATCTAAAATGTGAATCCTGTAGACAACATATAGTTGGCTATATTATTGATTTTTCGTATCTATTCATTATGAAAAACTTCTTAAGAATTTCTAAATGGCAACACTCTTGGAGTAGTTCAAGTTTGATGTCTTCTCCCGTGTAACAAGACGGCATTTCCTGTGAAATAATATACCACACCCCCGAAGAAGAGTCCTCCTCAGAACCTCATAATCAACATCCCAATTATCAGTTTCCTAGTAGGATAGTAAACCAGAGGTTAGGAAAGAAGGCTGGGATCCACGAGTCTACTAAGAACCAAAGATGTAACATCAGAGGAAGACGGTTTACTACAAAGTATTAAGCCATGATAGGAGAGTGACTTTAGAACCGTTCAAGGGGTTCAAACTTCATCAAAGAAGTTGTGAGAACAACCCACGTCGTGGCCAACAGGCTCATTTAGCTGTCCTGGCCGGAGCTGGTCCAAGTTGCCGTACAAGCAAGAGAAACACACAGAGACACAGGTGGCCCAAGAGTGCGCTGGCGGTATTGCTGTCGGCACCAGGCACGTTAGGAAGACAGAAGGAAAGTGATCACCAGGACTTAGGAGAGACCCTGAGTCAGCATCACCCAAAGGGCTGTTCTCAGAGTCTTGACCCTCAGAAACTGTACAAAATAATACATATTTTGTTGCTTTTAGTTGCCAAGTTTTGGAATGATTTGTTTTGAGATGACAGATAATGAATACGTCATGCCAGCCTGGAAATAACCTTCTTTCCACCAGGCTTCCCCCGTTTGCTACCATTTTCTCTCCCTCCTCTCTTCCCAGTCAGGCTCATTCTAAGGGAGGTCGACCTACTCACACCACCGGTCTCCAGACTATGGCAGATGCATCAATGCACGAAGACCTTCCAAGGGTCACTCGGCATAAATCGCTGTGGGCCTATGAGTTTCCACGTGCTCACCCTGACGTTTATTTATTTATTTATTTATTGAGACAGAGTCTCACTTTGTTGCCCAGGCTAGAGTGAGTGCTGTGGCATCAGCCTAGCTCACAGCAACCTCAAACTCCTGGGCTCAAGCGATCCTCCTGCCTCAGCCTCCCGAGGAGCTGGGACTACAGGTATGCACCACCATGCCCGGCTAATTTTTTCTGTATATTTTTAGTTGGCCAATTAATTTATTTCTATTTATAGTAGAGACAGGGTCTCGCTCTTGCTCAGGCTGGTTTTGAACTCCTGACCTTGAGCAATCTGCCTGCCTCGGCCTCCCACCATGTCTGGCCTCACCCTGACGTTTAATCTTGCCCAGCGCGGCTCTGCGCGGGAACCAGGCAGCACTGGAGGCTTCATGCAGGTTTTCTTTGCACAAGAGACTTTCTTCTCCTTATCACGAAAGTAAAACATGACCTCCTATTCATTCTGAATATTACATTGCGCTATAATTTTTATTGCTTGGGAATTTTTTAAATCTCCGAGGGGCTAAATGAAAGGACAATTTGAAGTATTAGTATCAATTTTGAGAGGGTGAATGGCATTAATGAATGGGTAAGAAAAAAGTTTTTGAAGCTAAGTGGTTTCCAGTTCTTTGCTTTCAGCAAAATTGAAGGAGGATCTAATCAAGTTGTCAGCTAGTATATAATTAAAATTAATTTTTCATGATAGATCATTATATAATTTTTGGCATATATTTCAGAAAAAGTTCAAAGAATCAAGTGTCATTGCTATAATAAAGTGCTTTCATTTCCATCTACTGATGTGGGTGAGCAAGGTTGCTCAGTGCTTATATCAACAAAATGAAAAACAGGAAGATAATTGGCTCTAATTTTTGTCACATTTGAGATTATGTAATTTTCATCTTTGAATACATACACTAATTTTTTTAAAAAAATAGTCCCATCCACCTC